GTGGCTTGTGCACTTCGAAAGTTGTCTTCTCGACATCGTTCACGTTCAGCCGCACTGTCGCAACATCGTATACAGCAGCCGCGATCCCCATGCGAAGCACTCGACTCGAGCTGAGAACCGGGCCAAGCGGAGACCATCTGTCAGCCCCCCTCTCCGCCTGCAGAGAAATACGCGTAGGAGGATGTCCTACTCTCCTCACAGCGCAATCGGAACGACGATACTCAATTCGCTTGGCGGCCTGAGCTTGGGTGAGAACGGTCTCCAGCTGCGTACGGGTGGGGCGGTCAAAAGCGTATTCCCATACAGAGATCGAGCTAGGTGGATCTCGCTCGGCATCGTATTGGCAGCGGAAGCGCTTGAAATTCGTCACAGGAGGTTTCCTTGCTTGGAGCCAAATCTCGACTGCTTGGGTCATACACATATCTAACGCCATGCTGATGATATGTATCAGGGGAACTCAAGACAATACATCCTATAGGTACGTCTCCAATTGTATCCGTACGTTCCCCGGTTGTACGAGACTTCCCGCGGGACCGTGGTATAGCGAGTGAGAAGAGAGGTGCCTTCACCCCGCCAGAAGAAATGGAAGTTCCAACACCAAGCCTCTCGCTCATGATACCACTCGTTTTCAGCCCGCTCAATCCATAGATTTTGAATCTGTATGTTGCCATTCTTCAGATTTGCACCCTCCCAAAACCGCGCCACCACAATGTCCCGTCGTAGGAGATCAGGCAGCGTAGCAGTAGCAAATTTTCGGTAAACCACCCAAACGGTCATCCAGGCCATGGAGGTCGAGCTTGTTTACCTTCAGCTGCGCGACAGTATGAGAGAGAGTGCCCTTAGTATCCTCATTCCCAATTTTTGTTTTGTTTTGCACCACATCATCCTGCAAACGAGCAACCTGCTCCTCCAATCACTGATCACCGAAGCAGACGCCGTCTTATCCCAAGTGGTCGTCCAAAATGCCATGTCCATAAAACATACAAACAAGGCCTCGAGCGTTCAATATATCAATACACTTGCTAGTGATACGGCTCCTGTTAATGAGGAGCGCATTAATAAAGGCGGCGTCGCAAGTCATCTTACCTCTGACGCCTCCAGGCATAAAATGACGATCATAATTTTTAATTTTGCTCTCGGGTGTTTTGGAGTAGTTCTCAAGCAAGGCCGTCAAATCACCGAACTTCTGCCCTGACTCCGGGACCGCAAGAGCATGCTGTTTGATCTCCTGCAACTTCTGCCTCGCAAGGCGAAACTGGGGATGACCGAAGTCGACTACGGCGTTAGCGACCACCTCAAAGGGATACCTGCTGAAGAAATATTGGTTTACGATGTTCACAAGCACGCGATAGTCAGCCACGATAGCAAGACGCATCATCCTGATCCGCCTGAGGCTCCCTGAGATCTGCTTCAAATCCTTGAGGGTTTTCCGTAAACAATTGTACCAGCTGCGCACGCGAATATATTCCATTTTCTTCAAACATAGGCGAAAAAATCTGGTGATATCCCTCCTGAACTTCTTTCTCTAATTCTTGCTCAGATTTTTTCTGGTAATGACGGAGAAAGCAAAGCTTTCACTAAAAGTCAACCGCAATAGATTTTTCGTCGCAATAATAGACAAATCGCTGATTGGTGCAGTCCATAGCGAGGATCGGGCGCTCGCAGCGGGTCAAGAGTTTCTCCTACAGTTTGAAGATGATAGTCGGTTTATTGCTCGTGCCGCCGAAGAGCGAATTAAGAAGCCGCTTCACGTTCGACTTATCCGTGAATCGGAAGAGATAGACAAAGTTTGTGTTACCCTTCATGTCCTTTATGTTGTCGAAGCTCTGGGAGAGGAAGAAGACGTTCAATTTCAGATGATGGCTATATATTGTAAAGAACTTATAGAGGCATCCCCCTCTGCGTTCCGCATTTGAGATTCATGACGTGGATGTCGTCGATGATGACGTAGGACTCCGGTTCTATACTCGTATCCTCGATCGATTCAGGCATGCCGGAATAATGCTTCAAGACCGTGTTAGGTTGGGTATATTGATCAGCGGAGGTGTTCGAAATGACGTACAGCCTTTTCGGACGAACGTGAACAAGGAGCCGTTTCATGAAGAAACTCTTGCCCATATTGCTCTGACCCAAGAGCAAAACATTCTGAGTGAAGGCAGAAGATTGTCAAACCATTCTTTTTTGTGAAATTCAAGCACTGGGATAACGGGGTATTTTCCCCCACCAGTGCTAGTATCGCGTGCGATAACACTTGGAAGAGCAGGAGGCGCGGGCGCCTATGATGGCGTCGGGACGAGTGACCCGGGGAACAACAGCCGAAAATCCATTTCGGAAAGATATGCACCGCTCTAAATGTTGAACGACTGGCCGATGTGGGCGCTCGTCGGGGTCGAGGACACGGCCCGTAAGGCGTGAGAGACGCTGTTGCTGATGGGCTGATGGAAACGTGAAGCCGCCTCGGGCGCCGAAGCAAGGACATTGGGTGCCAAACTTGTGGCTGACGATTTCAACCTAGAAATGGCTCTCGATTTTGCACGATTCGCTGCTCTCTTGCCCGTGGTCTTTGAAGCATCCAGGAGCATGCTCTTGACTTCATCCAAACTGCTACTCTTCGCTCACCCCGTGGCCTTCCGTCGTGTCCCTGCAGTTCTTCTAGGCGTTGCGCGCTTCGACGCCCCCGTCTTCCGTCTTGTTGTCGTCCTTGGCGCTGCGCGTGCTCTTCGAACCGTTCCCGTCGTCTTGCGAGTCTTTCCAGCCCTCAATCTTTTTTCAGCACCGCCCGTCGTCTGCTCGCGGGATGGCACATATTCCACGTGGTAGTCGTCGGAGGGGTGAGACATGTTGCCGTTAAGAATACCCGCGCCGACGATACTATTAACGACGTTGTCCCCCAGCGAGCCAAGCGCACCGATGGCGAAGGGGATAGCGGCATTCTTCGCGTAAGGGGCCATCCTGGTGACGGCTCCCAATAGCCTTGAGGGGAAAGCCAATCCCCAGCAGATCATGATTGCAGTATGCCGTTCAGGTGGGGGCGTTTTCATTTGGTTGGCTATCCGGTCTCCCGCCCCCTTTCCCATCAGCATGGGGAGCAGGCTCAACCCTTCCAGCGCCCAAGGATAGCCTCCACGTTAAATCAGCATTTGTGACTTGATCTGGTCGCTTTTACTGGAAGTGATTACTTGCAAAATGTCTCTTGGTTATTTTGTAATCAATTGTAGAGGGCGACCAAGTCGTTTTTAGTGCATAAAAATGCTCAAAAGAAGATTTTGAGAATTTTAAAGGCTAAATTACAAAAAAACTCTGCTTCATAAATATTTCTGCTGTACAGCGAGCTAAGTAGTCATTGTGTTCAATTGTAAATAGACTGCACAAATTCTTGGGTGCATGTTGGAATAGCAATGAAGTACTACGGTATATCAATAAAGAGGGTGTTTAACAATTTTTCTAACAGCCACACAAATGCCTAAACGCAGAACACCTAAAGTGTCCATTGTGTTGTTTTCAGCTGCGCGCTACCCTCGTTAACATCTTACATATACATTTACAACTGAAACTTTACGTTATAAATGTTCTAGTAGTAGCCGTCTATAAATTCTAATTAACAAAACAATAGATGTTCATCTAAATCCCTTTTTGACATGTAGATGGAGACTGTAATTGATGATCAGATCGAAATAATTCCCCATCTAACTAAATTCATAACAAATTCGTCATTTCAACATTTTCTAAAAAAGTTGATTGATGTCAAATCATCAGAACAAAAACTTGTTGAAAAAATTTGAAAATTGCCAATTATTTTGCAGCTGTATTAGAAAGATTTTGCAACTATAAACTTGCAATTAAAGTTTTTAAAGACATGACAGAAATTCAGAGTAAAGAGTTAGGTGTTAATCTTATATAGTAATGTTTCAAAAGCGTACAACAAGCTAGCTGTATTGCTTTCGAAGAATGGAGAATACGAAGAAGCAAAAAATTTGTGTGAAGAAGCCATTGAAATTGGGCCTGACCATGTCAATATTGCAGCAATTTACGACAATTTGGGTGTTGTTTACACGAAAATGATAGAGTATGAAAAAGCAAAAGATTTGTATAAACGAGCGATAAAATCAAACAAAACATGCTGGACCTGACTATGTCAATATTGAGTTCACGTACAGCAATCTGGGTGTGGTTTACAGTGATATGGGTGAGTACGAAACAGAAAACGGTTTGTATGAACGAGCGATGGAAATTCAAACAAAATTATTTGGACCAGACCATGTTAACATTACGATAACGTACAAAAATCTAGGTTTGGTATACAGCGATATAGGATAGGACGAAAAAGCAAAAGACTTTTGTGAACGAGCAATGAAAGTTCAAACAAAAGCATTTCGAGCTGATCATGTTAATATTGCAACAACGTACAAAAATCTGGGTTTAGTTTACATAAATATAGGAGAGTACGAAAAAGCAAAAGATTTTAATGAACGAGATATAGAAATTGAATTAAAAGCATTTGGACAGGACCATGTTGAAATTGCGACAACGTACAAAAGTCTGGGTTTAGTTTGCAGTAAAATGAGAGTGCAGAAAAAAGCAATATTCGCATGAGTGAGTGATAGACATTTAAAAAAAGCATTTGGACTGACCATGTTAATATTGCAGCAACGTAAAACAACCAGGTTTAGTTTACAGAGATATGGGAGAGTATGAAAAAGCAAAAGATTTCTATGACTGGAGTGTGAATATTAAAACGAAAGCATTAGTACATGAACATGTTAATACTGAGGCAATATAATAATCAAGGTTCAGTTTACAGAAAAATGGGAAACTATGAAAAAGCTAATTTTTTATGAACAAGAAATAGAAATCCAATATTGCTGAGTCGTACAACAATTTGGGTTTAGTTTAGTGAAATGGGAGAAAACAAAAAAGCAAATGATTTGTATGAAGGAGCGATAGAAATTCAAAAAAAAAAAGATTTAGACCTGAACATGTTAATATTGCGACAACATACATTAATCTTGGTTTTGTTTATCATAAAATGGGCGAGTACGAAAAAACAAGATTTATAGAGTACTGTTTAAATAGCTGTACGTAAGCATTAAGGTGATTCATTAAATTGTCTATGCACAAGTAACATTACAATATCCTGCAATTGATTGTTTTAAATTTTATCAAAGATTTTCCTGCACAGTCATCTCATGTACGATGGTGGTGTTATCTCTGTGATCCCAATGTTGAGCGAAAATTTTAATAACTAATGGAAATCATCAAGCATTATACACAATAACTTCATTGGGTTAAAAAAATAAGATAAACTGTTTTAGCGATTCTTAGAAGTTTTCTTCCTGTCTCTCTGATCACATTCACTGTAAAGAACGCAATGGTTATCTCGAGCACATCTTGTTAAACATACATATCTTGCGTCAAGTTTTTTTTCATGACTACATAGCATTCTTTTTTTCAGTTTCCATCACTTTCTCCTTACATCACGATTTAGGACAGTTCAATTACACTCTCGTTTGCCATCACTTTGCAATCTCTTAATTGTCACAGCCGATCTTTTAGATTACATCATTTAAATAAAATGTTATCTACCTGCATGTGTGTTTATTCCACTCTTCTTTTTGCTCACTTTATGTTCCTGCTTCTCCAATAAAGGTATTCACTGTAACCATTTCCATTCTTTTTGCCAAAGGTTTCACGAACTATCCGTCTATCACGGGTAGTGTTTGTATTAAGACCGATGAGCTTGTTACTTTATGTTAATTGTGTTTATCAAAAGTCATAAGACAATGAACGTCATGGGTAATGCATTATCTATAACTGCGGTCACTGCCAGTCTAATGTAACCATCAGCACTATGAGGTCACAGTTAGCATTATGTTGAAGTCAGCACAAATCACTGCCCTCTTTGTTCTAAGGATACTCTGTAATCCTATATTTAGCTCACCACAAATTTTGCTTTTCAATTGCACATCTTACTTGTATGGCATAAGCACTTATATACTACATTTAAAACGACCTCTTCAATTTCTGAAATAACTCTTCATTCAAGTTAAGTTCTCCATCACTTCTGTTCCTTTGATCTTTAATCTCTCATGTAAAAAGTTCCTTTGATCTTTAATCTCTCATGAAAAAAGGTTCCTTTGATCTTTAATCTTTCGTGTAAAAAGATTCCTTTGATCTTTAACTTCTCCACCTCTTGAAAATTTTTGAGTTGCTCTTCATCCAAGATAAGTTCTTCATCTCCTCTCTTTCTCGCCTGAACCCGCAAGATCTCTGTATTTTTCCGTTCGCACAATGTCTACCAACACTCTAGCTTTTTTCGTAGTTCCGTGATCCAAGTGTTAACTCTTACAGCTCAACTTTTGCTTTTTCTCTTCTCTTCCTCGTGCCGATATTTTATCAATTTGTTATTTGACCAACAGTAATAATTTCCAGCTGCAGGGTAAAAGCAATTATAGAAATTACAGAAATTATTCACATAACTACCTGTTAAGTGTTTTTACCTGATTGCTCTATTTTGACGCAACACTTTGCATACGCAATGATACAAAACGATTCTCGAGGCTTGGAAAAAATATTTTCTTTAAAAATTGTTTCATATTTGAAAGATTTGTGTAAGATGAAAGATAATGATAAAATTATTCCATGACCGAAACGAATTGTGGTTCATTACTGGTACCGGTTTAACTTTATTCAAGTCTGTAGAGCGATTGATGTTTCTTTAGTCATATAATGTAAATTCAAAAAAATATACATGGGGTTTCTTACTCGATTCCGAAGTTAAGATGGCAGTTTTCATACTTTAGTTAAGCGCAATGTTTATAGACTTCCGGTTGTGATGCATTACTATTGTCGTGATAAACTTGAATGAAATACAATCATGGGGCAGTCAAAACATTAAAAATAACTTGGAATTTATTGTAGGTGAACTTAATCATTGCATATAGACTCCAGTTAATCATTTTTATGTTGGCTTTCAGAGAGATGCATTGATAGCGTTTGTTCTTATGTCTATGTATAACTTGCAGTTGTATTTTTGAAATCATGACGTACGCAAAGGTCCTAGATAAAAATTAGCTCCGGCTCTAAAACACAATCGTATGAAAAGAACAAAATATTTTTACCAAGTCAAAGACCGAAACGAACTGGTACCGGTTTATGCAGAGGGTGAAAATATTTCACATTTTTCGTCCTTTTTGTAATAGTTCTAGGAAAATGGCAGCGAAAGAAGACATTTGTTATGTTTGAAAACATATATATATTTGCGCTTTTATTTTTGCTTTACATCCGATCGCGTTTTCTCTCTGTTTTTTTTTTCTGTAAATATTTCATATTATATTTATTTTTATTTTTAGTTAACACAGGTCCTTGATTGATAGCAAAATATTTCTTTTTCAGACCAAACAAACCTGTATAAAAAGATGTTACTATTATTATTATTATTATCTAGCATTGAAAATGAGCAACAGACATTGACCATGAAAATGAATGAAGTACGTAGTATATTGAAAAATTATTAGTGAAGTTTATCATTGAGTGTACAATAAAATTATTCATTAATTTTCGCATGTACTTTCAAATTTAAAATGATATAAATGCTTGATATTAACTTTTTACATTTAATATTTTGCATTACTTTGAAGTACTCGTGTCTAAGTAGCGATTCCGATCTAATCATGACGTCATGGGTACCAAAAAAATTAGCTACGACTCTCAAACACAATAGTGTGAACAAAATATTTCCACTAGAAAATCAAACACCGAAACGAACTGGTACCAGTTTGATCTCGTTCCACTCTATATAAGAGCAATCTTGTTGCAACTTTATGCAGATGATATAAATTTCAAGAAATATACATTTCTCAAGTCTTTTCTTGATTCCCAAGAAAAAAGATGAAGTTTTTCATACTGCTGTTTATCATGATATTTTTCAAGCAGTCTTATCAGTCTCCAGCTTGCTATGCGCCCGTTGGTCAATATTGTCCTTCCATAGATAATTCGACATATTTCTTAAAGTGTGGCAAAGGAAAATATCAAGACGAAACAGGTCAAACATTTTGTAAATCGTGTAAGGTTGGAGAGTACAATATTCAAATTGGTCAGTCAAAATGCAACATTTGTCCAATTGGTCATTCTTGTCTTTGGAACGACAAATCACCAGTAAACTGTCGTGATGGACAGTATCAAGATCAAAAAGGAAAAACATTTTGTGAAGCCTGCCCAATTGGTAAAGTTTGTTCTACAACCGGAATTGTAACTCTTAAAAAGGACACCCGGGGAATAATACCCGACAAACTGCCGGTAATTCGCAGAGCTGCGAAGTATTCACGCGAGGCCTACAAAGAGTTAAATCCTGATGAATCAAAATTGATGGATAAGACTAGGATAAAAGGCTTTGTAAAGTACAAAGGAAATGAAATTGTTGTATCTTTTCAGGGTTCTAAATACAAGATTGACTGGTGGAGGGATTTGAAGATCCTAAAAAAGACATATCTGGGCTGCCCGAATTGCAAAGTACACTCTGGATTCTTTCAGTATTATAACCTCCTGGAAACACAAATGTTTGAAAAAGTTAAAGCTTTATCTGACAAGCATCCCGGCTCTAAAATCATTGTCACCGGTCATTCACTTGGAGGAGCAATTGCGACTTTAGCAGCAGTTGATTTGGTCAATGCTAAACATACTGTTGATTTAATAACCTTTGGCTCACCTAGAGTTGGTAACAAAGAATTTGCACAATATATCGATACTACTGTAAAAGGATTGGATCTTAGAGTGACATACAAGGGAGACCCTGTAACGGACCTTCCTCCAAAAATTATTGGATATAGGCATGTGGGGCAAGAAATTCATTGCTTTGGTCATGGCCAATGCGAGGAATTTCTTCCAAATCAAGATCCCAGTCATAATGATAGAAAACTGAAATCTTTTAAGGATCATTCTATGAATAATTATTTTACAATATAAAAAAATGAAGTCATCTTAAATGGATTAAGATGAAAGAATTATACGTCAGAACCTTGAGTAAAAGTTGAGTTTGATTATAGTTTGTTATTTACGGTAATATTAAAATGCTTGAATGATTGATCATTGCCTATACCAAAATATATAACTCTCTGACACAGTTCAAACGATGCTTTATTGCTTCCAACAACTATACTGCTGTTGATTATTAACAATCATCTATATATAGCTACGAATTTCTGCACAAAGCCTGACAAAAAAAAAACATTTGACAAAAATTGCACACTTACCGACATAGATAAACAGTTTTATCGGCAGCTTGTTTCCACAAAAGAACGAAAGCGTCCGTATTTCTACGAGTACGTGTGTGCAATAAAACGCTGGGGGCGCTGGCTCGATAGCGCTATGTACTGGATAGCAAATAAGCATCTAAGATGAGAAAAATTTCTTTGTCGCAACGAAAATATAAACAATTTTTTACAAGTTTGAAAATTTTACTATTCAATGCATGACGCTATCCAAGTTCGTGCAACCAGCCTCTGGTCTTTACCATTGATGCAAGTGACCATTTCACACAAACTTCTATCGGTGAATAGCTACTAATTTTGCGACCTTTCATCAAATTCTCTCGAAAATGTGCTCAAAATTGTCGCTCTTTCATTCTTTCTCTTATAATATACTTGATCTGATGGATCTTGAAACAATACTATGGCAAGAACTGTGAAAAATTCAATTGGAAATTCGGATGGAATATTAAAACTGCAAACATGTTTTTTATAACTAGTCAGAAAATTATATAATGACCACTTTATGACTTCATATTTCTGCACCTGAAGCATAATCATCTATCAGAGAACGCATCACTGAGACGAAACGAAGGAAGATGAAAGTGCAAACAAGAAGAATCGTGGAGGTGAAACACAAACGACTTTTTGAGGAATATTGACAATAGAAGTACGAAGCAAACAGTCCACACCAGAAAAGTCTCGATAATATCTTCCTTACTGAAATGATTGCATATATGATATGCAACTAAAATCATTCGCGACTGATTAGAGATTCAACAAATTTGTTGTTTTGCTGTAGCTAACTAGCCCAAGAACCTTCACACAAAAGTGAAGAAACTACCAAAAAACTTTGAAGAAGTAAGAGCAATCGCAAAGATTAAGAAGTTTTTGAAGCGTTCATAAATCTCAACTGTTTTTGCCTAAAATAACCATAATGAGAATGACGTACATGCCATTTCCTCAATCTGAACAAAAGTTCTGAAATTGAGATCTCTCCCCTGAAATGGTAGTGTCAATTACTGAGAAACTTACCATGCACTATATCCGGTTAAATGTCAATTTTGCATAAATCAACAAATATTCTTGGCATAGATTGAGTTTTCATATTTTCAAAAAAAAAATCAAATAAGATGAAAAATACTACCTAAAACTCACTCTAATCATGCATTATTTGAAAGCCAGTTTATGTAAACATACGATAGTTTATGCTGACACAGTTTTTGCACATAGCTAGTTTTGCTGACATACGATGGACTATATTTTATCTACCCCAGTCCTCCAACCAAAACATGATTTCAGCAATATTTTGCTGTCTTCTATGCTTTTTGTCTGTCGAGTCTCACAAACATTCGTCGATTCTTGTAGATTTTTATGATTATTGATAACACTATAGCATTTTGACCAAGTTTCGTCATATTTTGATGCAGTGCAGTGTCTTTTATCAGAGATATTTTTCACACGACATTCTGTAAATATTAGAGTGATTTAACAAACACAACGTTTCGTATAAGACGCCGTGAAAGTGGCGTGACATGCGCCTTTTACTTCCGCTTCAATCTATCTCGACGACAACGTGAAACATACAATTTGACATCGTAACGACGACGGCTGAAACAAACATAATTTTTAGTCAAAAATAAGGAAATATCCTTGATATTTGCATGTTAAAAGATTATATAGGCCTACATATATTCATTTGAGAAAAAATTGCAGATATTTTTTTTCCAAAATCGAAAAAACAAACAAACAAATAAACCACGCGAGGTCTGCTCTAAATTCGGGGGTTTCCTCGGAGTCAAAGCAATTTTAGTTACAAACCGTATTTCGATGATTTTGTTTTTAATTATAATTTTATTGAAATGACTATACTGCAGTATATTTTTGATACCAAAAAACTAGTTTAAAATGATCGGAAGACGCGATCCAGCAGGAAAAATGCCGAAATGAATGAAACTTGTTTCATACTATCGTTTGACGAAGTCCTACACAAAAGGTTTGCTAAATCATAAATACGTTAAGACGTGGTGGCGTCCTAGACCCAGATTCCTAACAAAAATTTGGTGACGTCTTAGCGCCTGTTTATATGGAGCCGAGTTACCCGGCTAAGCGAGTTACTCGCTCAACCGGGTTAGATAAAGTGATCTGTTTATATGGCACCGGATAACTCGGCTAGTATTCCGTTCATTTGTCTTGAAGTTTGGCTATGCTAACTTCGAGTAAAGACGCGAGATTTTAAAAAGCCTCACAGTTTCGCAGCAAAAATGGAATGGGTGAATACAAAATTGAAAATTATGACATGTGTATGTTTTTGTATTATAATAATGCAAGTACAAGGGCTGTCAAGCATCAGAAGAAAGGCGGACTGTGGAAGCCAAACAGAAACGTGAGCTGCGGAAATCAAGAGCAGCCAGTGCTTCAACATCAGATGCATCTCTGGTTTGCCCTTCGTGTTCGAGAATATTCCGTGCCAAGATTGGGCTCATTAGCCACCTTAGAACTCATCGTACCCAGTCTTCTAGTACTTGAGTTAACTTGTCAAGGTCATCATCGCTTGCGATGGACGGACAACAACAACAAGGCTTAGTACGCATGCGTACCAACAGAGCCAATTTTCTCGCCTCGCCGAGTTACCCGGCAAATGCGTTTATATGGAAAAATTCATCCCGCCTAGCCGGGTAACTCGCTTGCACAGTTACTCAGATGTGTCATATAAACGATTCACCAAGAAATGCATTCATTTTATATAAGGGCGGAGTTACCTGGCTTGGCGAGTAACTCACTCAGCCGGGTAACTCGGCTCCATATAAACAGGCCCTTAGACGAAACGTCGTGTTGGCTAAATCACTCTATTGCTGCCATTGCAATGTGTTGTCGCTTCTCTGCTCGATAAATCACGCTTCTCGAACTTCATATGTATTCAAATTGCAGTAGTTAAAGCTGAGCAGAATATACAGTCAAGTCCCACCCAAAAAATTAAAAAGATAGTGGTACCAGTAAGGAAAAAACCTCCCAATGCACATTTAGAATTGAAGTTAACACATTACTAAAAATAACATGTACGTCACGTGTGATCTTTGAGAAATACTCGAGTGAGAAACATGGCGGGGGGAAAATGTAATTTACAAAGGGTTTGTTTTCTTCTACAAAAATTCATAAATTACAAACGTTTGTCTGTGTAAGACATTCTTTTCCTTGACTCCGATTGTTTGCTACACAATTTGCTTTAATATACTTTGCACTACGAAAAAAGTTATTTTCCAATGCGTGTATCTAAAGTTATTTTCCAATGCGTGTAACTGCAAACCGTTTTCGGCAAAAATTGGACAAAGGATATTGAATCAGCATATTTCAATTTTTGCTTCTTTAAAGTCGGTTATCGAAATTCTGACCATCTTATCCTTGTTTTTTTTTCAAAAAGAAGAATTAAAACTGCTTTTGAAGTCAGTTTAAATTTTTGTTTTTGTCGATGCGATCAATCACAAGAACAGAATTCAATGCTCTACTTCCGTTTCTATTTTCAATTTCACAGGAAATGAATGTAGTTTTAGTTATTTTTTGAAAGGATTGGAACTTAAATAAATTTGAGAATTATTCAAATTTAAAAATTTGAGTCTTTAACAGTTTTTCAGGTTTTCACAAAATTTCAACGCAACATTGCAGCTGTGATTGTGACTAAAACACCACACGAGTACATACGAATACATACAAGTACATACGACTGACATATGAGTACATACGAATGACTTACGACTCTATACTGGTCATAAATGAGAAATAACACAATTTCTTCAATAATACATTGATATTTGCGTTCACTTTTCCTTGTATTTGTCTGGACTCTGGGGCGACCATTTAATGGATTTAAATGCTGAAAAGGTATTTTACTTTCATACTACATTCATTTGTATGTTTCAGTTGAATTTGTTATACGTATTTTGTCGATGCGACTTGCCAGTATTTGAGCGCTTTTTGACACACTTTCACCTAGGAAATACATATTTATGAAAGCGATTAAATATACAAGGTATAAATAATGCTTTGAAAACGTGCTATATGAAATAAATGTACATTATATATATTTGAATTAAATGAGAGTTGCACTGTAATACGTATATGTGTCATATTATGTGTACAATTTCAGCCTACTTTTAATGTTTTTAAAGTTCTAGCTGATGTAATTCAGTCTTTTAACAGCAAAATCAGTATCTTAAACACTCTAAAAAGAGGCTGGATGTGAGCTGATGTGCAATCTGATTCATTCCTTACTATACTACCTCATATTTCTTTGGTAGAATAAATAAAATAAATGCAACATTTGAGGAGTAAATCCACAACAATTAACTATATTACAGGTACATCTAATTGCTATTTTTGTCCAAGATTTTTAACTTATTGATATATTAATAAAAGATTACAAAGTGTGTACCATGCCTAACAGTTCTCAGAATAACTGCTCAATATTTTTTGTACGGGAGTTTACTTTATGGCAACTACAGCGCAAGACTACCGTTGACACATTTAAACCGTTTAATAGATTAAAACGTAGCGCACAACAGACACCTAATTTAACTGAAACATACAAATGAATGTGCAAATAAAATACCTTTTCAGCAATTAAATTTATCAAATGGTTGCCTCTGAGTCCAGACAACTACAAGCAAAAGTGAATGCAATTATCAATGTATTATTGAAGAAATTGTGCTATTTCTCATTTGTGACCAGTATATAGTCGTATGTCACTCGATGTACTCGTATGTACTCGTATGTCAGTCGTATGTACTCGTATGTCACTCGTATGTACTTGTATGTACTCGTATGTCACTCGTATGTACTCGTATGTAATCGCGTGGTTTTTTAGTCACGATCTGCAGCTGCTACTAATAGAGGCTGTTTTAATTTTTCATTTTGTATAATTTTATTTATTTTATTTTTGGAGTTTTTCAACATTTTTACCATTATTTTATAATTCACATACCAATAACAGTAGAAATAAGGAGCTACAATCATTCCATCCTTGTGCCGCTTTTATATTGATGATGGAAAACTCATTTCCAATTAAGGTACAAAATTTCCTTCACATGACCAAATTTCCGTCTATTTAAACGATGTATGTAATGAAAAGTTACCTTGACAACTGAAGCAAACCCTCTTTTTATTCCATGCATCTGAAAAACGTCAAATTCATTCTGAACTCTTGAATTTACCACAGCGTAGCTGAAAGGAATAGGCATCAAATCAGGATACTCATCTCCATAATCACCGCCATTTTTATTTATCCCCTGATCTTTTCCATCGTCAAACTTATCTGAAGTAATGTATTGCTTAAAACGGGCAAAATGGGATTTGGAGAAATAAAGGGATGTCCAAGAGGCCCTGTGCTAAACATTGGTTACTGTTACCGATATAGACATGTATACAGAGTATATGACATTGAAAAATCTGTAACTATTAATTCTTCATTACTTTATGGCTAGTTTTCTGGAACATACAAATGAGTTACCAATATCTCAACGAGTTGATAGTATACCAATGAGACTTAAATAACTAAGCAATGAGTTCTTGCTAACAATCTATTTTTTGTCTACTCCACACAAAAATATTATTGCACAATCATAAATTATTAATTTCATTATTTCACAAAGAGCAAATTCATAAAATATTTTTAATAAAATTGAATATTCATCATGACACACTGCTCATTTGTGCAGCTGCACACAAACAAAATTGGGATTTTTGTATTATCTTGGACATATGTTAGATAAGAGACATGTTAAAGATGTTAAGGTTGTTTGAATTATTCACACCACAATGCTAAGTTCGAGAAAGCTTTGCTTTTTGAGACAGAAGAATGTAGTTTTTTTCGAGACAGAAGAATGCAGATCAACCTAAACAAGCAGAAATAGAACTTAATCAATGCGTTATATTGGACTGTTTTATTCCATAACTCTGTTCAGTCTGTTCAGGAAATACATTACTCTGCATCTATTAGACCAATTTCTTGGATCAAATATTGGTAAGTGTGGGCACACCAAACACAATGCAGTTATATTAACCGTAAATACAGGGAAGTTACATTAACCATAAATACAGGGAAGTTACGCCAATGTTAGAAAATAGGTCAGATATACCAACGAATACAGGACAGCTACACTAATATTAAACTACTGGGAATAATTATACACAGAAATTTACATAATTTAATGATGTTGAAAACAAAAGCAACTTTTTTGCCATTTAAGTAAGGGATTTTTTTTGTTTTTTTTTTACGTAAAACAAATAGATTGCATTTAACGTTGTCTGCTCTGTTGTAGATATAAGGGTATGATGTCATTTGTGATAAGAACAATAAGTGTCTGCTTGTGGCCATACCAGTGTATCTATAACTGAACGGACAACGGTTGAATGTAATCTAGTTGCTAATTTTCACCCAATCCAAGCAGCAATCTTAATAACGATTAGAAATCATAAAACATTGTATACAGTAATTTTATTAGGTTTCAACATTCGTATAAGCTGTTTCAGCGACCCTTACCAGTTTTCTACCTGTCTCCCTGATCACTGCAGTTGTAGTCTAGGTCACCTCATGCAGACTTGTTCAACAAGAATTTGTTTCACTGTCTCATCTTTTCCCTAATGACTACATAGCACTCTTTTCAGGGTCCAGCACTTTTTCCCATGGACGGATTTTCATGGGATGGTGCCAAACCCCAAACATCAGATTTTACCCACTCCTCCCTTAAATAAATTGCTCACCCCTTCATGAAACTATTTTAAACTTCTTTATTTTCAGCGAAATAAACCTTAGTACGGTTTCTGGGCAATGTTTCAACTGTCTACACTACCTTCGGTGGTTACACCACCCAACTGCTCTAAATTCTAGACCCTTACTTTGTTTGAAGTACCTTCCTTACCAGCTCAACCCCCCTAAAATTTTTAGCACTACCCATGTGAAAAACATGAAATCTGCTTTGTCCACACACAGCCTTTCAGAACTGATTAATTACAAATCAAATTAGGGAAGTATGGAGGATATAATTTCTTCTAAAATTCTTTGATATTTGAAAGACTTTACAAGATAATATAAACTTATATGATAAAATTAATCGATGACCGTAATGAACTGGTACCGGTGTGGCAGGAAATCCCCCTCCCCAAAAATTTGTCTTCCTCGGGCCATTCTTCATTGGAAAATGTCCCCCTCTTCGGAGATTTGTCTCCCTTACAAACTTTTAATTTCATTTTGAAAAACGGTGAAACTTTTCAGTTTTAAAACAAGATCGCAAATGACTTAAGATAGTACAATCTATTCAGATCTATAAATCAGGTGGAATTTTATAAGACAAGTCAGAATAAGCATTACCCAAGCATTACATCATCATAACATCATGCCTTATCACGCGTAACAAGTAACTAGTATTTTTCACGCGTCTAAACAAAGAACAGGAAGTAATAAAACAAATGACCATGACAAACAATTCGCAAACACAAAAGCGCAAAGGATTAAATGACGCACAGATTTCACTCAAACGTTGATTCACAAACACAAGATCCCTCGGCGTTCCCTCGTCTTTAAATAACGGCTTCAGTATACACGAACAGACTAATTTGGCCCGGGGCGGCAATTTTTTGAGGGGGGCAGGGCATATTCCTGTGACACCGGTTAGACTTAAATCATTCCAGTCCATAGAGCATTTGCTGTTACTTTATGCAGGAGGGGGAAAACTTTACCAGTTTTTATACTTTGTAAAATTGTCCGATTTTCTACTTTTATTCTAGGTTTACAGTTGCACTTCTATAACAATACATTTATCCAACCATTAGTTAACATTAACACAACATTACAGCGTTGTTGATCTTGCATGGAAAATGAAATTGAAATATGTCATAGTCAAAGATGCTACATGGAAAGATTGTTGTTGAACTTTATCATTGCGTGTGCAATAAAGTTAATCGTTTTTGCATTTATGGTGGCTTTTAAGAGACGTTATAATGTTTGATATTAAAGCCTGTACTTAACTTTTCACATCGCTTTAATCAAGGTACTTATGTGTAAGTATGCCATTCGAAGTTGCAAAAAAAAAATCATAATGTCACAGGTACCAGAAAAAAATTAGCTCCGGCCCTCAAGCACAGTTGTGTGACCAAAATATTTTTAATAAAGAAGTCAAAAACCGAAACCAACTGGTACCCGTTTGTTTCACACATTTGCTTCGTTCAGGTCTATATAAGAGCGATTGTTTTTAGCTACTTCATGAAGAGGATATAAATTCAAAAACATATTCATTTGGAACGTCTTACTTAAATCCGAAGTAAAAAGATGAAGCTTCTCTTACTTTTGTTAAGCACAATGTTTTTCGTGCAGACTTATCAATCTTCAACTTGTGAAGCACCCGTTGGTCATTTTTGTTCTTCAAAAAGTGATGAAACATATATTGTAAAATGTGGCAAAGGAAGATATCAAGACGAAAAAGGTCAAACATCTTGCAAATCTTGCAAGGATGGTGAATATAATATTCAAACTGGTCAATCAAAATGCAAAGTTTGTCCTGTTGGTCATTCTTGTCTTCATAAGAATAAATCACCTGCAAAGTGCCGTAAAGGATCGTATCAAGACAAAAGAGGGAAAAAATTTTGTCGAACCTGCCCAATTAGCAAATTTTGTTCTTCAACTGGACCTGTAATACACAAAAAGGACACTAGCCCATTAGCAGCCGACAGACTTGAGAAAATACGCAATGCCATGACCTATGCAAAACAAGCCTACGACGAAGTAATAAATCCTGCTGATTCGAGATTGAAGGATGGCGATAGAACAAAAGGCTTTGTCAAGTACGACGACAATAAAATTGTTGTATCTTTTCAGGGTTCTAACGACATTAATGACTGGTATAGAAATGTCAAATTCGCCAAAGAGGATTATTCCGGCTGCGAAGATTGTGAAGTACACATTGGATTTTTTCAGACTTATAACGCAATGAAAGACCAAATGCTTGAGAAAGTAAGCGCTTTATCTGACGAACATTCTGACGCTAGAGTTTTAGTCACAGGTCATTCACTTGGTGGTGCAGTGGCGACTTTTGCCGCAGTCGATTTGGTCGATGCTGGACATTCTGTTGATTTAATAACCTTTGGCTCACCTCGGGTTGGTAACAACAAATTTTCAGAGCATGTCAACGGAGCTTTGAACGGATTGAATCTCAGAGTAACGAACAAAAGAGACTTTGTTACAGTCATACCTCTAGGATTTATAGGATATCTACATGTTGGGCAAGAAGTCCATTGCACTGATAAAGGCAAATGCGAAGAATACCCTCTTAATGAAGATGCTTCACATTTTAGAATAAGTGCTACCGATCATTCTTCATCAGAGTATTGTAAAATATAAAAACGTGAAATCTGCATTAGGATGAAAGAATCACATGACAGAATCGTGACTTCATTTGATGTTTTGTCATATGATGGTTTAGAAAGGGCGACAAAATTATGATGTCAATTATGTGAAGTAAATGCAAAAATATATTTTACAAAAAGTGGAGCACTGTGTATCACATGATATCCTATAGTAGTAGTAGACTAGAATACTTTCTTGTCCTTATCTAGATATCGGAGTTTTTATGACAGCTACTATATGTTAATGTTATCAAACGAAAAGTAATACTGATGGAACTTTACTGAATGTAAACAGCCGTATTTCTTGATTTGAAAACAAATCAAATTCGATAGATGATTGCTGCCCATAGAGATTGTCCAAAATAACTCGCTACGTGAAAGTGTCAGCCTTTCTGCGCATGTGCATGTGTGTGCTTTAAAATGCTGCATAATTTTACACAAACTTCTATCAGTGAATGATTTCGCAACTTTTCATCGAATTCACTCAAAAATATGCTCAAAATGTCGCTGTATAATTTTTTGTCTTATAAAACTTAATCGGGTGAATTTTGAAATAGCTAAAAAAGTGGCAAGAACTGTAAAAATGCAATTGGAATTTCGGAGTGGAATATGAAAATTGCAAACATGTTTTTATAGCTAACTAGTCAAAAACGTTTATATTATGACAACTTTAATGACTTCATATTTCTGCATCTGAAGCAAAATCATACGTGAGAGCACGCATCACTGAGACCAAATGAAGGAAAATTAAAAAGCGAAAAAGAGCAGTCGAAGTGGTAAAACACAAACAACTTTTCGATGAATACTCGCAACAGAAGTATGCTTACGAAGTACGAAGCACACAGTCCGCCCCAAAAATGTCTCGATAATACCTCGCTGAAAATGATTGCAACTGATATAACACCGAACTCTACCATGACTAATAAGGGATTTAAAAAAGTTTTCATTTGCAATAAACATTAGATACAAGCCAAACATACCCGGCCGAAGAACTTTAATACACAAGCTACCTGAAGAGTTTGAAGAAGTAACAGCAATGGTAAAGATTAAGATAATTTCTGCTTTGTTTTGACGACAGATATTTTGACTTGGACAGAGAACAACCCGCCAAGATATATATATAACTGCTATTTTATTCATGAATTATGGCAGATGGAACCATCATTTTGGAATCTTTTAACTTGTAGTGGTGTTATAAAGCCATACTGCAAAAAGGTTGCAGGCATGAATAACTGATGAATGGACAATTACTGAGAAACTCGTTGCTCCGGGAGCTGTTTGCACAAAGCATGCATAGCGTTATCCATAATTCATTGGATAGTAAAGTTTTCACTTGTGAAAAAATCAGTATATTTCTTTTTACAATGCTGAAACTTTTTAATTCAAGAAAAAGACTAAAAACGTTAGAGATACCAGGAAGGGAAAACCTCCAATAGTGCATTTAGGATTTTTAGATAGAAATTTAAAGTTCAAACACAACACTAAAAAAACATGTACGTCACATATGATCTGTAGGGTTTGTTTACTTTTACAAAAATTAGTACACTACAAACGTTAGTCGTTGTAAAATATTCCTTTCTTGATACTTCAATTATATGATTATATCAATTTAATTTTTATTTGTGAAAAACATTAAATATTGCGAAAACATTTGCTTTAATTTACATTGGCATAAGAGCAAACAATTCGTAGCTAAAAATACGTTTTCCAGTGCGTGTATCCAAGTGCCAACCGTTTTCGTTAAAAATCAGGAAACGGTATTTGAATCAATATATTTCAATTTTTTTTCCTTTAAAGTCGGTTATCGAAATTTCGATCTTAAAATTTATTTTTCTTTTTAAACGTTTTTGACGATGTGATCAATCACAAGAACAGAATTCAATGCTCCATTTTCGTTTTCTATTTCCAATTTCACAGGAAATTGAAAATGGGAATTCAAAAGCCGATTTTTTTCATAAATTCGAGTCTTTGAAAATGTTCAGGTTTGCGCAAAATTTCAATGCAACGTGGCAGTTAGACTTTGAAGCTGCCATTTACAGAGGATTTTTTAATTTTTCATTCTATTTTATTTTTTTCATTTTATTTCTGGGGTTTTCCTAGATTTTAGCATTTTTTCATGATTTATGACTCAATAACAGTAAAAGTAAATACAAGTATTCCAGTATATTGTATCGCTCTTATAAACGATAGAAAATTCATACAAAACAATCAACTTTATTTTGTAGCTCTGACATTTTACAAGATTTGATTCCATCAATTGCCTGAGGCATGGTCGTAGCAACAAAAACAGTAGCATTACTTTTTCATCGAAAGAAAAATCGTCGTCAATTATCCTTTTCAAGATGTTCAACAAATCAGCCATTTTGTTTTGCCAGTTGCGTGCGTGCGCATTTTTGTCATCTAAAGCGTACTTGTTGTTGGCTCCACACTCACAAGGATTTTTTGTCATTCATAACAAAAAATATCAAACACGTTTGATTTTTGGCTCATCTGTCTCGAATGACAAATGTGGTTGAAAACTTTCCCGCACACACGGAATTTTCGTCGATCCAACTTGTCACGAATAACAAGTGCGCGCAACAAGTTTGACAGTGTGCGGCGTGCTTTAAAGTTAGGAGAAGGTTTAATGGCTTTTTGGCTGACGTCACCAACGTCTTAATGCTCAAAACGATGATATTTGCTTTATTTAATAGGCTGAATGAATTTAGTCAATTAATGATTTGCGTAATATCACAGAGAAAATGGTCGATTGTCATTTGCATTTTACGTATATTCCTGTAGAAGGAGCATGGTTTTTTTGTTTTGCATTAATACATTTTATTTTTCAAAATTAGATTTGATAGATATCTGGTAATTAGTTCAATTGCCAACAATGAATGTTAAACAATCATGTGGAACAAATACATATAACGACATGCTTAACACCATGCATAAAAATACTATTCACTTCAAGTGTTGCCACATATAAACCATGAAGCGTCGTGGAATTGTTCACATGAGATGGAGCAAGACTATGCACATAGACGACAAGTATAAAGATTTGTGATTGAACAAAGCAAAATAAAGTTGTTCCCTTCAGTTGTCATCGATGATAAGTTACCAAAAGACGTCTCATTTGAATGCAGATGTATTTGAACGCGTTGATAAAAAATCAAGACCGCCAACATCTGTAAATGCAACAGAACCTGAATTGGAATCTATGACTTTGAAGAAACTTTATGAAAACATGGAACAATATAGTTGCAGCTTACACACTTATGTTTGCTCGCTATCATGTATAAAAATAAATCCCACGGCTGGAAACTTAATGTAAGTGATTATGTTGACGATAAATGATTATTTGCTTCTTGATTTATCTTTATATTGTTCTTCTGAAAATCTCAATGGCTTTTTATTGATGCTACTGATTTTTGTTTTTCATTCCTATGTCGCACTAGTCATTACTGAATATATGCAATGATAAATACACTACATTTTTTCATCTGTCTTCAGCGCACCATGTAGCTAGTCAAACAGAACTCAGTACAAACAGAACGCCTTATTCATCTCGTAACCTCAAGCAAGAGCAAGATATGACTGCAAGTTTCAATGAATATTTGGAAAAAATTAAAGTCTAGTTTATACATTCATTATCCTCTCATGAATCTTAACCTACAACATCCTGCATCGATACTTTGCATAACGACATTAAAACGCAAAAAAATCTTTAAAATCTAATGAATTTATTTTTATCAATCAATGCATTAAAGATTATTTATTGTCTTTGTGAATGGTGCCATGCTCCTAACTCCTAAGGAGCCAATCACAATAAAAAATTTGAGTTATGACATCAACTAAAGAAATGTTAAAAACGTAAAATTTGTCACTTTAATGTTGTAGAAAAAATAGTAAATTCTGTCTTCTTACGACGATCTAAATATGAGTTTAAAGGAATAATCAACTAGTCATATTTGTAGATCTTGTAATACAAAAGCTTTCACTGTAAAAATCTTTGACCAGATTTTTAAGCCTTTGATCATTTCAAAGTTTTTGATGGATTGATCAATTGATGGCTCAATTTTCAAACTTAACTGACTAAATCTATTTGTGCAATTTTGGTGAATGTTCTACCATTTGGACAGTCAAACAGAAAATATATAGTAATTTTTTCATTCTCTTTATATAGCTGATTCTTATTTTCTTATATTGTAGATTCCACATGTATGAAGTTGTGAAAGGCCCTTTACCACCTGTGTCGTTCACTTCAGTTACTCTAAATAATTCTTTATTACCCATGTGCCATGGTGATTCATGGCCAAGAATGTTTATTTGTAGTTTGGTTTCTTTGTTGATGTCAGTTGTTTGTTCATATAATGATGGTGGGCCCCATTGTTATATGATCCCACTAAAAGGTGGTCAGCTGATACTCACAGAAGATCAATTCTGCATTGAGCATTCTTTGACTGATGATTTAACTGGGATATTGAAGTGCTCTCTTTTCCTTCGCTTGAAGTTACCATTAGAATGCATTGCAAATTGTATGCATGAACATTAACATTGGAGTGAGTAGACTATAAAAACGGTCTATATTCTACGACGATGGAAAACAAGCGAGTGGAAAAAACACGATCCATGTCTTGTCGTTTGTAAGTTGAGTAGATAAGTGTGAAAATTAATTTATATGAGTAACTGCATGAGATATAGTTGAGGATCCAGCTGGTCTATTTTTTTAATTTGAGCCATAGTCATGAAAAACACTAGCTACTTTTTATTAATTTTATTAAACGTTTATGAGGAAAATTGCAATGCTGCAAGTGGGGTTCACTGAATTTCTATGATAAAAATGTTGCAATAAATTTTAATGATATACACGTAAAAACTGCGCGATGAAAGAAAGGAAGAGACGGTCTATATCGTCTGGATCAGACTGACCAAGACAACGCTTGAACTAGGTATTAAAGTTTAATTCTTTTCAATATATTTAATTTCTGTTTTTGTTTATTCATTATGCTGACATTTATGCCGTGTTTTTATAGAGTATAGGTATGTCTGTAGGTCTACCATCCGGACAATGAATGAACGACCAAGTCGAAGAGAACCACCAAGAAAAATGCGTCCTTATTGAAAGATTCACACCTGCAATTTTCGCTATACATAATGTTAATCAGTATAATCGCATTTTCAAATCAACATTTCAAAAATTTCGTAAACGAAATTTTCACAATTGTTAAGTTTTCTGACAAAACACACGAGTAAAAGCCAGCTATTAATAAAGGTCTCAATGAAGCAACAGAGAAATTTTGAATCGAATGAAGTCTAGTATACATCAAAAATGATTTTTATGCATGTTATGACGTCACTTTGGTCTTTCCATCTGCATTGTTATTGACAGGTGAATGTTCAGGTCGTAATTTTTGAATAATTTTTTCATATGATATATGTATGTGCTTCTAATAGTTTTCATTTTTCGTCTACTTATTAAAATTTTTGTTAACACTCTGCGCTGTTTCATTTTTTGTTCTCTACAAAGTTTTCGTTTCTTTGTTCGAACACAAAATATTTGCTGTGCCAATATGGTAGTCAGCCGCTTTTTTGTCGTTCTGAAAATTTAACGCTGTACGATCTGAATACGCTGCATGTTTAAGTAGATCATCGGGATCATTGAAGATAACAAAAATATAAGTTCTTAAAACTACAAAATTAAGAAAATTTTACTAAATTTTGATCATTTTTTAATTGAGGGTTTTTACCGGATCCACCGGTTTTCCCTCGACATTTCGTTTTGTTTGGAAAAAACAGTGTCCACATTTGGGGCCAAGGATAGCATTTGTCATAACATAATTTATTGTAGATATAAATATTGACGTTTCTTTGTCATTTCTTGGCCTTTGGGTATATCTCCCAAAACACTGCGTCTATTAAATAAAGCTACAAAACTGTGATTTTGTAATACAAAAGTATAGTAAAGTGGGACCGATACCCCCCATGAAGCCAATAAATGATCGATCTTCCGGCTTCAATTTTCGCGAGATGCGTTATCCAGTCTAATATACATATCAGAGTTAATAATCTATAATAATTTTGATGAGGTTTCCCGTCCAGGTAATTCCTATACAGGTCAGTGGTAATAATAAACAATCATGTTATCGTATCATTTGATCTAACAGCATTTGTAAGTAATTTTTAAAAGCAAGATGACGACGGTTTGATTCGAATTTATTAAATACAAAAGATAAAAAATATGATTTAGAAGTCGCCTGCCATTCTATCGATTGCGATCGTGGTTTGCATTTATTTTAAGACTTAAGTAGTAGCAGTTCTCTGTCAAGTCCAGCAACAGCGTGCTGAAACCGAATAGCATTTCCAAAGGTGCACTTTCGAATGGTTGTCGCGTTTCCGATTTTCATGGTTTGATTAGCCATTGATTCATCAGCTCTGACTAAAATAATATAAACTTACCGAGTGAATAGCCTGCGTTAATGTGAAATTATGAAAAGACAAGGTTGTATCACAAATTATTTTCCGCCGCTGGGGCCTCAGAAGACCAGAATGTCAAATGAATCGGGTCAAAAAAAGATGTCAAGAATACATAGAAGGTACTGAAAAATGATTGATGATGAAGAAGCAGTATTCTGTTTGGTAGTTTGATGGAATTGTTTCATGTGCCAATGTAGCCATTGTTATTATGTTTATACTTGATTGTTAGATACAGATTGTTCATAAGATCAAGCATGTTTGATCAAAGCATGTGGTTTGTAATATCATGAGTGCTTTGGGTCTACTTGTATGAGGTCAGGTTACACTGATCACAAGATGTAATACATTTTCTTAAATGAAGGTGAAATGTGTTTGATCTATAGGTGGGTGTAATGTTTGCACCGCTGTACAAAAGCAGAAGATTGGTAATTGGGAGGGCTCCTCTAGTACAGTAGAATATGCATTTATGAATATTACTCACCCCCTGCCAATTTTGATCTTATACTGTCCTTGTTTTGCTTAAGTACTGTGTTGCCATCATTCTTGATTGTTTTTTTCTTCTTGAAAATTTTAAATAGCCGTGATGTATGGCATGTGTGTGTATTTCTTTGTCTTTTTAGACGAAATTTGTCACCTACTGAGCCACACAATTCCAACAGGAAACAACAAATGTTTTTGGTGAGAAATATAAGGATTTCACTCAAACTGCATTTTTAATGTTTGATTTTTGGTCTTAATCTGTAATCCTCTCTGCCATTTGGTGCTTCATCAGGAGTGATCTGATGTTGAAGCTTTAGTCCTTGCATACCCTCGTCTAGTCTCTTTATCAAAAGTGATCTGCTGTTGAGACTTGAATTTTTATATACTCCTAGTGTCTTCATAAGAAGTGATCTGATGTTGAAACTGGAGTCCTTATATACTCCAGTCTTGTGTCTTCATCAAAAATGATCTGATGTTGAAACTTGAGTTCTTATATACTCCCATCTAGTGTCTTCATCAGGAGTAATCTGATGTTGAAACTTGAGTTCTTATATACTCCAGTCTTGTGTCTTCATCAAAAGTGATCTGATGTTGAGACTTGTGTCGTTACTCCAGTCTAGTGTCTTTAATAGGTCTCTTCCAACATTAACCTTATTAGTGCAGTTCCCTAATCTAAAATAATGAATGCAACGCCATATATTTCTAGGATTTAGGGCAAAGAAATTTTGGTCATACAACATGTGCTACATGTGGCATGATATACACAAATAGTCAACCTGAAGATGAAGCTTATCATGGCAAGTTTCATGACACTGTTGTCAGCGCCCTTCGATTCAATGTAAGTCTTGTTTGTGTTTTACAAACTTTGTTTATCTTAGTCCAAAAATTATTTTAAGTGTTGATAAGTTTTTGTCTCGCGTTTAAATTGCAGTGAACAAAGAAGTTGGGGAAAAAAATTAGACAATTTTGTTAAAAAATGAAGGCCATAGGTATTTCCAACCTTATTAATTTGTCTTCTGTATTTTAAGGGATGGAAAAATGAACATTTTTTGGAACATTATGATGATGGACGAGTTCTTGTTGTTTCACCAAATGATCCACCTTCACATTTGAAAAAGGTTCTTCACCAATATCTATGGTGTGTTTGTCACCAATGTCTATGGTGTGTTTGTCATTAATGTCTATGTTGTGTTTGTCATTAATGTCTATGGTGTGTTTGTCACCAATGTCTATGGTGTGTTTGTCATTAATGTCTATGGTGTGTTTGTCACTAATGTCTATGGTGTGTTTGTCATTAATGTCTATGGTGTGTTTGTCATTAATGTCTATGGTGTGTTTGTCACCAATGTCAATGGTGTTTTTGTCATTAATGTCTATGGTGTGTTTGTCATTAATGTCTATGGTGTGTTTGTCATTAATGTCTATGGTGTGTTTGTCACCAATGTCTATGGTGTGTTTTCATTAATGTCTATGGTGTGTTTGTCGTTAATGTCTATGTTGTGTTTGTCACCAATGTCAATGGTGTACTTTAGTCTCTTAGCTACTTATTTTGTCTTAAGTTTTCTTGATGAAATAGTCATCAGCTGTTGCCAATGCTTTTACACATTTCTGTACTTATTTGTGCATTAATATACATGAAGCTCCTGCTTGCCTAATAAGATGTCTGTATGCTTCTGAGATACCACAGAGAATTATGTGATAGGAAACTATAGCCCAGCAATATTTGCACCTTAACTTGCAATCATTGAAAATGTGTGTGTTAAGAGGGCAGAACAAGTTGTAAGTGAATTTATGAATCATTTCAGACTCCTCAAAACAAGAAATTTTACATGGTCCTTATTTATCACTCCACTGAAATTTCCTAATAAATCTATGAATGCATGTCCAGTTTAAGATTATGTTGTTACTTCATATAGGCAACAAGTATTCATGCTGTAGTCGACAACGAGTTGGGATTTTCTTCAGAAGCCTCATCAAGAATGAAGGATGCTAAAGTAAGGAACATAATATATATACGTATTAGATAATGTTTATTGGTTGAAGGCTTTTAGTAATGGTGGGGGGGGGGGGTTACACTTATGCTGACAGGGACTGGGGAGAGAGATTGATAGCACGCGATAAGTGCAAACGTCAGACTTTAGAGCGACAGTAATGACAGTGACTAAATATTTTTAAGCGTAATAAACTAAGAACTGCTGTAAATGGCATTCTTACATGTTTATGAGGATAAACGTGGTATTTTTTCTTAGCGTGCAATATTTGTTATTTGTTTTCAATTCACTAAAAGAATACCATGTTTGCTCAGAGTACTCATTCAATAATTTATTTATAGTATATGAGTATTGTTCAATAATTTATGCTGTTAATTATGCCGTGATTTTTTCCAGACCTATCTATTTGTCGCAGGCAAGAAAGTCGTCGGATGTGTTGTAGCCGTTCATATTGAAGAGGTGGTCTTATTTTTTACGCGAAAAATTCATCTTTTTCGACGTCTGATAAATCGGTGACAATTATATGTATTTAATGCATTACTAAACTGTTCTTTGAACTTGTTTTTCAAGGCTTTTTCCCTTCTGCCTTACCCATATGAAGAGAGAGAGGCAAAAAGTTCAGATATGACTGCTTGGTGCTGTAGGTGAGCTGTTTTGTTCATAGATTTTTCAACGACGTAAGAGCTCGTACTCAGGCTCTTTGGTTTTGTACACGGACGTATGTTGTTTAAGCGCATATTACTTTGTTGAAGAAGTGTTGAATGTGTTGTAGTTGCTGTTGCTTTTCGAATATTTTTTCTACGTCAGCTTATTCATTGAAGTATTTCTCTTCTTCAGCTCCGAACCGACTCGCGCTATCTGTGGAATCAGTAGAATATGGGTGTTTAAACAATATAGAAGGAAGAGGGTTGCTACGAGACTACTGGATTGTGTCAGGTAGCTACATATTAATAGAGTAATGGGAGGACAATAAAATCTGAGGAATAAATGCTTGTAGTAAGGCTAACTTTAATATTATTGTACTGTACAATAAAAAAATAAAAGATGTTTATTGTGTTTGCACCACAGGCTTATGCAAACCAAGGAGATCTTTAGTAGAACCCGAGAGCAAATCAGTGCAAGCCCTAGACCTAAGGTCGAGTGCTCTCACAAATGTCTCCGAGGTTTGCATAAGCCAGTGCAAACTCGAAAAACGTCTTTTATTTTTTTATAAAACAAAAATAATGTCAAACTGAGAAAGACAAAGGTTTCAATTCTACCTCTAGCATGTATCAATGATTGATATGCAGATTCTCCTTGTTTGATTCAATTGATTGAATTTAAAACGATATTTTTAGTTATTAGTACCCAATCCCCGCTAAAAAGCCATCGGACTTTTTCGACCAGTGGCAACTCGGACTTTTCATTTTCTTATGATAGGGCAGATTTCATGTTTGGTGGCGTGGTTGCCAAGGAACAAATGGCTTTTTCCGACCCAACACCAATGGGAAGACAGCTGGCCGAATTCTATTGTGGAACTGATCGTTTCCTCGTGTTTCGATGACAGTCCTCTCCATGTTCCAAGATTTGACGATGGAAAACATTTAGAATCACCCATCTGGTTACCAATTTCATTGCCTTCGTTTTTGCACCATGGGGGAGGGGTAAAACACTACGCTCTCCATAATGTAATAAAATAGTTAAGTACGCTAATAGCAATCAAAATTCTTGGAGAAAAACACTGTTTTCCAGTCCTCGAAGTTTCCCTTCTTGCTCTTGTGGCAAATTAGACGTGCAACTAAACTTAAGGACATTGAAATGACAAAGGTTGAAGCCGTTTAAAATACCAAACTATGTTGTTTATATAACTTTAACGAATATAATGTGATCAACGTAGCTATATTTAAAAATGATTTATATACACTACTGAAATAAGTATGAGCGAGATACGTTTAGATTTTTACTCTCGTGAGACTTAAGAAGACCGCAATTTTCTTTTGTTCATCGTTCAGTTCAATGATTGGTATTGCTTACGCTTGGGTTTATGTCGGTGCCAATGTTCAGTGCTTTATACTTGTTTTATATGCTTACGCTTGGGCTCATGTCGATGCCAATGTTCAGTGCTTTATACTCGTTTTATATGCTTACGTTTGCTTACGCTTGGGCTCATGTCGATGCCAATGTTCAGTGCTTTATACTCATTTTATATGCTTACGCTTGGGCTTATGCGATGCCAATGTTCAGTGCTTTATACTCGTTTTATATGCTTACGCTTGCTTACGCTTGGGCTTATGTCGATGCCAATGTTCAGTGCTTTATACTCATTTTATATGCTTACGCTTGCTTACGCTTGGGCTTATGCGATGCCAATGTTCAGTGCTTTATACTCGTTTTATATGCTTACGCTTGCTTACGCTTGGGCTTATGTCGATGCTAATGTTCAGTGCTTTATACTCGCGTTTTATACTCGCCATTAAAATGCCAAAAGTCAACGTCGTGTAAAAAGCAAATTACGAGTGAAGTTTATGTGGCATTATTATATGGCAAGCGTCACTTCAAGCAAAATGCGCGCTCTGATTGGCTCAGAAACATTTTTGCCGGTCCATTCCCGTAATTGACCACCGTCCAAAACGCATAATTTTACAGTGAATTGTAAACAAACATCGTAATGCAAACAGCATAACGCAAGAAGACAGCGAATCAAAACCATTTGCGAATGTGAGTTGAAAGAAAAACACTTGGAAAACAGTTTAACTATCCAGACGATACAATTTGAAACGATTTCTTTTTTCTGACAAGAACTAGAAAAGTGAAAGTCAACTTGTACAAAACAGCAAAGACGAGAAAGAAAGCATGCTTCGTTTCAGGTCAAATAATGCCTTATAATAAACCTTTTAATAACCTCTCTTTCTCGGTCGTTACTGAGAAATATCGGACCTCTGTCTTTATGTACAAACCTCTCTCTACGGGCTTGGTCTGTACAAAGACACCTGTGTCTGATATTTCTCCGTAAACACCTCGAGCTCGGTTGTTAAGGGCTTATTAATCGTCATTAGTAAATATTCAGGCAATATTCAGGTTTTGGGTTTAAAAGCTATAGACTAATATACATTGAATATGTTTCTTTACAAAAATTTACCCGAAATCCAAATATTTCGAATCTGAAATGTAGCAACAAGCCTATAATAATCAAATCACTATTATACTGGTGAGAAAAATTCAAACATGTGACCATGTTTCATGACATTACGAATGGGGAATCTTAAACCTTGTAACAATGGATGACTTGCCTTGTTTGCGTTTTGCTGACAGGCAGATTAATCCCAAGAGAGGTTAAAAATTATTGCTAATGTTATCCATTGTACATTGTTGTCAGCCATTCCCTCGATCAACATGACAATGAAGAAGGCTGTACCAGATGATAAATATTGTAATCCCTAGGAGGTAAAATCATCCCTTTACTGTTATATTAGAATGCTCTCCCCACCCCTCTAGCTGTATTTTCTTCTAAGTAAGCCTCAGTATACAACTTATTTTATTTCTATTTGAACAATAATAATTAAAAAACTGTCCAATGTAGTCTTCAAGCATAAAACTACTCAAAAACCATATCTTCGCATTCCTCTTTGATGAGAGGAAATTGCAAATTTACAAGTGCTGCGCATAACTGAAACAAAATGTCAGCATAGCAGCGCAAATACGAAGGAATGCAGCCTAAAATTTTGAAGTCTTTCAGCCTAGCATTGGCTTTTTCAACATGACTCCGTGCTTTAGCTATGGCTTTTGTTTTCTTGACCTCACTCTCTGTGAAAGTCCATTATTCAGAAAGGGTGGAATATTGACACAGACACCATGTGGTACAACATCCTGGATAAGGAAACCCTTGTCTGCCAGAATCATGTCTCCAGCTGTCAAGTGATTAAGGAGTCCAGACTGTTGCACAATGGCCTTGTCTGAAATAGAACCTGGATACAGCCGACTGACATTAGCAATGACTCCATTTGGTGCAACACCAATTATTACCTTAAAGGAATTCATTCCTCTGTATGATAAATAGGTTGCATTTTGCTGACTCATCAATCCCGGTGCAGCAACCTCAATATTTGTGCAGACAGGATTCAAATTGCCTGAAAAAGGAGGGTGCAGAGATCTTGTTTTTTTGTTTCTGGGATGGAATCGACGTCATTAGGTCGTCAAACAAAATTTCATGCAAAACATGAGTGAATGCTATAACAATGTTAGAAATTGTGGCCACATTACAATGAAACAATTGGGCTAGGTGAAGCTGTGTGTAGTTCTGTCGTACTTTCATTAAAGTGATAAAAATTTGATCCTCAAAATTGATGGATTATACCTTCCAAAGCACTAAGATTTAAGGTTTTCGCTACGGAAAATACAAAGCGACCGTTACAAAGACAACTAGCTGAAGCTTCTATCATTCAGTATTCGATGATTCTCCCTCATGTCCTGATGTCAACTCTTCACCTGAATAGAGTCCGTAAATCTCACTTAAAATCACGTAATTCATCAAATTTTCACCGAATAAGGAATTCTTTTTGAATATCAGTTCATACCTTATGAGTCTAATCCATCTCTTGTACTCGTCGTTCAGCATTGTAGCGCTTGGAAAAGCAAAGAACTTGCAAGTGTTGCCATCCGACGAATGGCCACATGTAGGAGCAAAACAGTAAACCATTTTGCCCGTTTGACCCGCGTCCTTTACACTTCTTAAACAAAAGTTGATCCCTTGGATTACCTTTTAACCATTCCTGTTTTTTTTTATTGTCTTTTGTGGGATTACACTGGATAATCAAAGCTTTAGACATTCAAAACAAAGGAAGCGTGTCCAAAGCGCTCGCATAAGATATTTTGTTTAGAACTGCATTTTTAGCTCCATGGTAACGTGACGTCACACTTAAGGACTCTATGGTTTCTAATACTGAACCAATAATAAATAAAAATGTTGAATGAAGTAGAGCGATTTAATTTCTAGACCACTTCGTCACCATTTAAACATATTTCTTGATCCACAAACATTTGAGCTGCTATTTTGTAGTTTTTCAGCAATATACTACTTTATTCTCATCAACTATAACTTTTCCCCGTCCTCCAATCTCAACCACATTCTATCTTTGTGTATTAGATATGGTATTAGTGTCTTGGCTACCAGATAATTAATTCTTAAGTATGACGTAAGCTAAAGTAGAAACAGTGTTGCCAGCTCACATTTTGTAAAAATCAAAAGTAAGCTATGAATAAAAATTAATGCTCAGCATAAAGTTTTGATTACAGCCATAGAAATAGACCGAAACTTGTAAAATTGAATTTATTGTAATGTTTCGTCTTTACTCAAGATATCTTCAGACAATTAACAAAAAGGATGTTAAGACAAGATATTATATTTACAAAAGGTGTAAAATTACTACTAAAGGAGGCGGTGTCAAATGGATTATATGATAAGGAAGTTAGAAAGTAAAATAAAGAGAAATTAAAAAGGTTAAGTAAACAGACAGCCGCATTCTAAAAATCATTTCACATTCCCAATCACTGAGTGTAGCTTAAAGATCACCTCATGACTATTCAAAGACAGCATATACCAAAAGTCTAGTCATCGATGGAGAAAAGACTTTGTCATTTATGAGTTTTTCTATTTCAGTGAGTGTGAGTGAGCTTTAAGAGTACAGGAAAAATATTTCTAAACATCCTGTTCCTTAACAAGTTCCGTTAGACCTATGCTGAAGCCATTGCTAAAAATTACATAGTAATTAGACTAACGTAATGTGAGCTTACCTAAGATAATGCCAAAGTTCAGAGAATATAAATAGAGCAACTTTTGTTACTTTATGCAAAAGGTAGAAATTTTGGAGCGTCTTACTTGATTCCGAAGTAAAAAGATGACGGTTTTAATACTTTTGTTAAGCATGATATTTTTCGTGCAGGCTTATCAGTCTTCATCTTGTAATGCACCTGTTGGTTATTACTGTCCTTCCATGAATAATCCAACACAACTTTTAAAATGTGGCAAAAGAAAATATCAAGACAAAACAGGTCAAACATCTTGCAAATCGTGTAAGGATGGAGAATACAACATTGGAACTGGACAATCAAAATGTAATGTTTGTCGTGTTGGTCATTCTTGTTACTGGAGGATAAATTGCCTTTAAAATGTCGTGGTGGGCAGTATCAAGAGAAAAGAGGAAAAACATATTGTCAAACCTGCCCAATTAGAAGAGTTTGCTCCCCAACTGGTCCTGTATTACCAAAGAGGAACACTCGGGCTATAAATTCACACAACAAACTGTCAGCAATTCGTAATGCTGCAATACATGCAAATGCAACCTACCAATTTCAGCCTTCTAAGTGGCGATTGATGAACCGAAATGAGATGAAAGGCTTTGTCAAATACAACAGTTGTGTAATTGTTGTATCTTTTCAGGGTAGTAAAAGCATTAAAGACTGGCTTAAGGATATCAAAATAAAGAAAAGATCATTTGGGAGCTGCCAAGCGCAAAATTGCAAAGTACACACTGGATTTTATGAGTCTTATTTTCCTCTGAAATGCCAGATGTTTATGAAAGTGAAGGATTTGTCCCTTCTCAATCGCACCAAGAAGGTTTTAGTCACAGGTCATTCACTTGGTAGGGCAATGGCGACTTTGGCAGCAGTTGATATGGTCAATGCTGGATATCGTGTCAATTCAATAACCTTTGGTTCACCCAGGGTTGGTAACAAAAAATTTGCTGAACATGTCAACAAAAAAGTGCAGGGACGAAATCTAAGAGTGACGTACAGGAACGACATTTTTACGGTCAGTCCTGGAAAATCTATTGAATACTGGCATGTCGGGCAAGAAATTCATTGCACTGGTCCGCGCAACAAATGCCAAGAATTACCCCCTTATGAAGATTTTCGAAAAGTAAGAACAAACATTCCAGATCATTTTATGAATAACTATCTTGCAATATAAAAAAAAAGTAAATAGTACATATTTGCAAATTTTTGCATATCAAATTACCCAATGGAAAATGGCAGAATCCTGAGTTTTTTTCTTACGATGTTCTAACTTTAAGTGTAATACATAAAAGCTTTATAATCTGACATATGTAGCTATGGTAACTTTAGTAAAAAATTAAATTGCTTAAATGATTGATAATTGTGGTTTACGATGACAACCCAAATAATACTGCACAAAAGCGTATGTTTGCGATGACACAAACCGCAGAATTAACAGATTTAAAAACAGGTCCAAATGGCTTAAATCTGGGTATGTTATTCATATTAATTTAATTTATTTTAAAGATCTTCCAGATTATTATGATATTTAAAAAATCAATTAAAACTCATCTGACTCTATGCGGAACCCATTTTCAAACACTTTGAAAAGGATTTTAAGCTTGATTTTATCGGGTGCACAAAGACTTAATTGTTCTTGCAAATCATTTTGTGCGTGTTTTGTTTTCTTTAATTTGAAGGTTTTGAATTGGTTCGCAGAAAATCACGACAAACATTTATAGTGTTACAATTTAAATTAGTGTGCCAAATTTCTACAAAATTTCCATTATATTTTGTGATTCTATACATTTTGGTCACATCTATTTGTCACACCGCTCTACCAGTTGAGCTATTGAGTTAAAATTAACTGGTTTTGGTTACAAGTTGTATGTTCATAAATTGTGGCAAAATCGTTTCTTGGTGAATCAATCTTCCAAAAGAAAATTATTCCTGAAATTTGCCAAAATAAAAGAAATCCATAAAATTTCTTTTTAAAACAAAAATTTCGAAACAATCCCAACCACTTCAATAAATCTCAAGGTCTCAGGATGAATTTTTAATGTTTGCGCCCTTGATAAGATTGGGGATAGTTGCTTTGTTTAAATTTATGTCTATATGATACCGCTGCGCCCTCATAAGGTTCTGCTTTAATAGTATTGTAATCTGCATTGAGAAACAAAGATTTTTATGATCCTGTCATTTATAAACACAGACACAGACAAAATAAGTAGCTATACAATTGCATTCTAAAAGCTATACTCACTTTCTTAAGCACTGAGAGAGGCTTAAAAACCACCTCATAACTATTCGAAGACGACATTTTTACTCAAGTGATTGCTTCATTTGAAGTATTTTATCAAACGTTGTTATGGAGAGAAAAAAGAGAGACAGATAGAAAAAAATGGAATGCATTATTCTTTACACAGAAACTTATCATTGAAAGTTAACGTCGTATATTTCTCATTAGAAATTGACGGAAATTATACACGCGATTTTACTGGGATCAAACACCTTGGATTCCTCATTATGTTCAATATTAAGCTAGAGCTCTTATAAAACAGGTGGAGAAATGACTCCTTGTCATCGATGGAGAAATTATTTTGCCATTGATTATTGGAATCGGAGTTTCGCTGTTTGCACTCAATGAGAGTGAACTTTTAGAATACAAAAATAAATATTTGTAATGAACCTGTCACATAAAGTGCGCGCTTATAGTCATACATGCTGAAGCTCTCAAAGAAGTGAAACTATCGTAATGTGAGATAACGTAAGATAATGCCGATGTTCATAGAAAAAAACGGACAGATTCAGACTGAAAAATCTCACGCTCAAAGATGTCTTCGTTAACCTTCAATTGCCAAAATAGATCATCGTGCGTATTTTTCTTAATCTCATACTCATTTTCAGTATTTAATTAGCATCTAAGTTAAACAAGTGGTCTACCTTAATGACAACAAAATATAAATGCATGTCTACAATTCACAGCCAACACGGTATATTCTGTGTAGTAAATTTCTACATTCTTTTGAAAGCAGAATATGTGCTTTACACGAACAATTAAATTTAGGCTGCGTTTACACAATACCGGATTCGCTCATCACGACATCTTCATTTACTTTAAAGGAGTAACTCTATAGATTTAGAGCTTATTAAGCTGATAGATTTAATCCATTTGATTGCGTTTCTGACGTTGAACAATTTCACTGCCTTTTAACATAATGAATATTCAACCTGCTACGATAGCTATCAGGTATAGTGTAAGTGGGGCCTTATAATTAGAGATTTTAACACCCCCCTCCAAAAACATATTCAAGTTATCTCGGTTTGCTGGCTCTGAATGTGTGACGCAATTTTCTCGTATAGCTATACAAGGCTACGAGCATAAAAAAACAAGTGAGAAACACTGTTTTGATTATAACGAGGAAACGGTCCGCAAATACTGATAACACTAGTTTTTTTGTTTTGGTTAATATTATGTGAAAATTACAGAAAACTATATTCTTCAGATAGAATATTAATAATTTAAACATTTGGATGGTTAGGATATGAAACAAATCCAAGTGTAGCAACACAAGCAAAATTCTTTCAAACAGCTACCAATGACATGCAAGAGTGTATAAAATTAATGTAAATCTTTGCGACGCAAAAATGCAAGCCATTAAAACGAGCTACATTGAAAAGCACGAAAAAAAGATCACGAACAGAATTTCAATATTTTCATACTCCAAGTTTTCACTTGACGTGGTCAAGTGATTGTAACAAGACAATCAAAGATGATTTTCTTACAATAATCAATTTCTTTCCGATTGATTGTGACAATCATCGGAACGGTTCGTCAAAACTGAAATAAGCCACTAGCAAACACTTATTTAACACCCATAAGTGCACGGTACTAGGAAGACTGAACGAGGCTATGTTTTAGAACGATATAATTAGTTAATATACCGTTCACATCGATGAGTCGACTCATCGTAGATAAAATACTGTCAAGTGTGAACTTTTATTCATGTATTGCAAAACTTTATGTAGTTTTTTCCTTCAGTGAGACCTTTCATGACATCCTGTTATATATGACATGAACAAATT